AGTGAGACTCCAACTCAAAAAAAAAAAAAAAAAAGAAGAACTTCAAAAAAACTTCACTGAAGCCAAATGCAACCTCTCACAACAGCGCCAGCTGGTACACTGATGCTGACGGGTTTCTAGAATACTTACCTAGCGCAGGAAACCTGTACTACAAGGGGCCTGCCCTCCGAAAGATAATTCCAGGCTTTTTGGGGTCTCCCTTTGTACTTTGTCCCTATCATTCAATTTGTGGAACCTAAACAATCGTTGCTTCTCCAGACATACAGGTAGACTTAGTAAATGGCTCTGACAAATATGTGGATAGGAATGAATTCTGGAACAAGCATTGCATCTTCCCGGAAGGACACCTCTCTCTGCTTCCACAATGCCATTAGTCCACTTCTGTCACAATGCTTATTTTGCTGCCTTCTTTGCTTCTTATCGTCTCTACTAGGCCCACAGCTGTATTTTTTTTTTTTTTTTTTTTTGAGTAGGAGTCTCACTCAGTCACCCAGGCTATAGTGCAGTGGCACACTCACGGCCACCCCAGTGTCGACTTGCTGGGCTCCAGCAATCCTTTCTCTTCAGCCTTTCAAGTAGCCAGAACTACAGGTATGTGCTCCCACGCCCAGTTAATTTTTTTGATTTATTGTAGAGACGAGGTCTTGCCAAGTTGCCCTGGCTGGTCTCAAATCCACTGGCTCAGGAAATCTACTTGCCTCAGCCTCCCAAAATGCTGGGATTACAGGCTGAGCCACGAGCCCACCCTCACAGCTGCATCTTATTTCCTTCTATATCTTCAGCACAAAGCACTGACCTTGATATATGTTTAATAAAAGTTTATTGAATGGGGGGAAAGGGATAAATGAGCAAACCTTAAAGTACAGACAATTTTAGAGTAGTTCACACTAGTTTGTTTTGTTTTGTTTTTGAGTTGGGGTCTCACTCTGTCACCCAGGTTGGAGTACAATGGCACACTCCCCGCCACCACAGCCTTGACCTGCTGGGCTCAGGCAATCCTTCCACCTCCGTCTTCCAAGTAGCTGGAACTACAGGAGTGCGCTACCATGCCCGGCTAATTTTTTGATTTATTGTAGAGAGGAGGTCTCATCATGTGGTCTAGGCTGGTCTCAAACCCATGGGCTCAGGCAATCCTCTCTCCCCAGCCTCCCAAAGTGCTGGGATTATAGGCTTGAGCCACCGTGCCCGGCCTACACTAGTATTTTTTTACATAAATTTGCTTAACATATTATATTATAAGCAATCATTGATTCTACAAATTAGAACGTTCCATCTTAAGGGCTATACTGGGAATCATTCCATGGACTCAGACAGGAGATTACTAAAATTACAAATACAAGCAAGTTCCTTTGTGGCTACATAAATGATCTCATTTAATACTCATAGCAGTCCCATGAGGTAGGTATCATCAGTTACATTTTATAGAAGGTAGCCTTGTTTTCTCCAACATGGTTCATTAAAAAACTTTAACTTACATCTGTAAAAATGTTATTATATAGGTTTGTTTTGTTTTGTTTTGTTTTTCTCCTTAAGCAAGCATTTATTTAGGGCTTATCATATGCTGGGCTGGAAAGATAAAAAGATGGCTAAATCTCAGACCCTGGTTAATGTCCATTCCATAATCATTAGAAGCAGAGTCAGAAATAAAATCCTTCTCCCACTTACCACTGGAATTCATTACTTTCTTCTTCCTTCTACTACTGTTATGTGATTCTATAGGTCTTGAGATCATTGTGGCTTTTCCAAAAGACGTCAGTCATCCCCAAGAAATGTGCCAGGAAGACTTCAAAGAAAACAAGTAAGGACTATTATTTGAAGGGTTCGATTGAAAATTAAGTATGAAGTGAGGGTGCTTGTTAGGCAGCTGATTCAACCCACAACAATGCTCAAAAGCAGAGGCCACTATAAATAGTATGTGGAAGGGGGGCAGATCATAAATATTTAGGCTTTGTGAGTCATACAGTCTCTGTTGCAATGATTCGATGCTGCAATAGACAGTATGTAAGCAAATGAGTGTGGTTGTGATCTAATCAGAGCTTTAAAAAATAGGGCTGAAGACTGGATGTGTCCCCTGGACCATAGTTTGCTGACCCTACTCTAGGGCAGAGATGCTCAGAATGTGGTTCTGTGGTCCTGTTACCAGTCCATGAGGAGGTCAGTACAGGCTGTGAGGGTAACCAGCTTAAAAGTTGCAATTTAACAAAGTAATTTTATGATTGGATAATGAAAAAGTTGGAGCTTATGTTTTTGATTTGTTGTCCATTGTTATCGTAATTCACTTTTTTATTTTTTTGAGTTGGAGTCTCACTTGGTCACCCAGGCTGGAGTGCAGTGGCACACTCACAGCTACCACAGCATTGACCTGCTGGGCTCAGGCAATCCTTTTGCCTCAGTCTTCCAAGTAGCCAGAACTACAAGGTGTACGCTGCCATGCCCAGATAATTTTTGATTGATTGATTGATTTTTGAGTTGGAGTCTCACTCTTGTCGCCCAGGCTGGAGTGCAGTGGCACACTCACAGCCACCCCAGCACTGACCAACTGGACTCAGGCGATTCTTCTGCCTCAGCCTTCCAAGTAGCCAGAACTATAGGCATGCATTACCATGCCCAGCTAATTTTTGATTTATTGTAGAGATGAGGGCTCGCCAAATTGCCCGGGCTGGTTTCGAATCCGTGGGTTCAGGCAATCCACTCGTCTCGGCCTCCCAAAGTACTGGGATTATAGGCTGAGCCACTGGGCCCAGCCAGTAATTCACTTTTATTGTATTTTACAAAAGTATCAGTCCACAATGGATCGGAAAGTTTAAAAACTGGTTCTCCACCAGAGAAAGTTTGAGAAGCACTGGGCTAGCCCAGGCCTCTGGAGATAAAAGGTTGCATCCTCCATGCCTGTCCTTTGTCTCTAGTTTCTCTGTGCAAAGAAATGGGGACTGGGAAAACTGTAATGGGCTGAAACTAAATCCATTCATGTCTTGGATGCCGAAGACAGAGGAGGTGGGGAGCAAGTTGGAGGATAGAGAGGTCTTGTTCTCTTGGGTTGCAACCATTCCACTCAGCAGCACCCTTTGGAAATAGCTCTCTAAACTTCCTCGTGATGTTAGGTTGGACTGAGGACTGAAGATCCAGAAGATATGGCGAATGAATTCTAAATCAAACCATTTCCCTCCCCTTTTAGTCAGAGAGCCTTAGTGCCTCAAGAATGGGCACAAGCACATTCCGTTTCTCTTCCAAATGAAACTGAGACAGTGAACTTCAAGACAAAGAGGCTGAGCACGCGGCCTTTACTCCTGAAGAAAGAGGAAAGTACCAAGGATCTCTGGGATGTCAACTCTGACTTTTTGCTGCCAAGACCTTGCTTAGAACCAAGCATCTCCAAGTCTGTAACCAGAGAAGATGCCCCTCATCTCCCCAAGGAGCTGCAAAGAAAATATGAAGGTAAGTTGGACACTGAATTCCACAGTGACTCCTTTGTTCTTTTGGTCAACAAATATTTTATTGCACTGTTCTTAATACTGGAGAGAGAGCGTTGCAGGAGTTTTGAGCTCCACTGTCAGCTTAAAACAGCAAGCTCGGGTTCTTGTTCCACGACCAAGAAGATTAAAGAAAGTGGACACCAAAAGGATGAGTGAAAGAAGGAGTTTATTAAGCAACAAAGTTCTCTAGAAATAGAGAGGAGACCCCAAAATGGGTTATCTGGTGTTAGGAGTTTTTTTGTGGTTTTTATCTTATCTTTTCTGGAGGTGCTTCTCTCATTTACATCTCATCCACCCCTTACCTCCGGAGATTCAATTCTTACTGTGCATGCGGATCCTTGACCAAAGTTACTCCATCTTGAATATTACCCATAAGTACTACAGAAAAGCCCACTGGGGACGGGGCGGGGGGTAAACCACAATGCAAATGCTATGTCAATTATATTCTAATAAGCTAAGGTCAAGCTAGGACATCTAGTTAAGCCACTGCGCCTGCGTTTAAGCAGCAAAAAGTTCCTTCTAGCAAAACATCCTGGATTGAAAGGATGTTCTTAACCATACTAGCCACATTTCCAGCCCACAATTATATAACAGAGTTGGTACAGGGGGGCGTTCCCACAGGTGTTACGTCTTCTCAAGACCCACTCAGAGAGGGTGCCTAATCAGCCTCTGGTTATTTCCTTTCTCAATAGCAGTGAACAAGGTAGACAATAACCACAGACCTGTGGAATTTACATTCCTGTGAGGGGCAGGTGGCATTTTAGTCGACAAGTAAAATGAAGGATGGTGTAAAGTTCCAGCAGTAAGAATAGTACGTACAAATGTGTTCAGGGAATGGAAGGTGAATTTTTTGAGAATGTCTTATTGTTTTGATGAGTCCACTGTTTGTGTCTTTCAACATTTAGGATGTTTTTTTTTTTTTTTTGAGTTGGAGTCTCACTCTTGTCGCCCAGCTGGAGGGCAGTGGCACACTCCCAGCCACCACTGCAGCCTCAACTTGCTGGGCTCAGGCGATCCTTCTGTCTCAGCCTTCTAAGTAGCTGGAACTACAGGCACACGCCACCATGCCCAGCTAATTTTTTGATTTATTGTAGAGAAGATGTCTCACCAAGTTGCCCGGGCTTGTCTTGAACCCATGGGCTCAGGCAGTCCTCTCACCTCAGCCTCCCAAAGTGCTCGGATTATAGGCATGAGTCACCATACCTGGCCCTGAGATGGTATTTTATAAGCTGTACTTGATAATTCCAATATCTGAAATCCCTGAGGATTTAAATTTGTTGTTTCTGGTTTCTACTGGTTTGTAGTATTGTGGGCTCTTTTTCTTAAGTAGTTGAAAATCTTTTTTTTTCTTTTAATTGGAGTCTTACTCTGTCGCCCAGACTGGAGTGCAGTGGCACGATCATGGCTCACTGAAGCCTCGAACTCCTAGGCTCAAGCAATCCTCCCTCCTAAGCCTCCAAATAGTTGGGACAACAGGCACAGGCCACCATGCCTGGTTGTTTATTTTTTAATTTTTTTGTATAGACAGGATCTTACTATGTTGCCCAGTTTGGTCTCAAACTCCTGGCCTCAAGCCATCCTCCCGCCTCAGCCTCCCATAGTGCTGAGAATACAGGTATGAGCCACAAGCCTGGCCATGAAAATCTTTACAGTGTGCTCATGTTTGGTTGATGTTTATGTGTGACACTCTTGGGGGTCCACACTGAGGATGCTTTCTGCTGGAAGGATTTGGGTTTGCTTCTGCCAGGCCCCAGGGTCATTATTGACTTGAGTCTACCTTAGCTTATTCCTGGATCCCCAAGTTAATGTGCTTCTAACTATATGAGCCCAAGACTTGTTTATGAGACAGCAGTACTTTTGTCAACATTTCCTCTTGGGGCAATATTATCTTTGGTATTTTCTTACCACTGGTCTAAACCAACCATCCTAAACCACTAGGAACACACCTATAACCCAAAAAGTTGCATTCATTGACTTATTGCAACAAGGGAGACTGCACACCAGGGAACTGTGGGGCATCTTACCAAAGGAACAAAATAGAAAAATCATTATAGGACTTTGGGAGAGGGTACATTTTAAGGGAAATTTAAATGAGGCAGTGCTTAAAATTTTTTTAAAACTTACTGTGCTAAAATGTATGTAGCATAACATTTACCATTTAAAAACATTTTCAAGTGTACACTTCAGTGGCATTAAGTACGTTCACCTTATCGTGCAATTGTCACAACAATTCATCCACAAAATTTTTCCATCTTGTAAAACAAACTCTGTGCCAAGCTGGGCGTGGTGGCTCAGCCTATAATCTCAGCTCTTTGGGAGGCGGAGGCAAGAGGATTGCCTGAGCCCAGGGATTCGAGACCAGCCCAGGCAACTTGGTAAGACCTTGTCTCTGCAATAAATCAAGAAAAATTAGTTGGGTGTGGTGATGCACACCTGTAGTTCCAGCTACCTGGAAGGCTGAGGTGGAAGAATTGCCTGAGCTCAGTAGGTTGAGGCTGTGGTGGCCGTGAGTGTGCCACTGCACTCCAGCCTGGGTGACAGAGTGAAACTCTGACTGAAAAAAAAGAAAAAGTAAAAGAAACTCTATACCCATTAAACAATACCTCTCTATTCTCCTTTCCCTGAAGCCTCTGGTAATTACTATTCTATTTTCTGTCTCAACATGAATTTGGCTATTCTAGGTTTTTTTTTTTTCCAAGTCAGGGTCTCACTCTGTTGCCCAGGCTGGAGTGCAGTGGCACAATCGTGGCTCACCACAGCCTTGACCTCCTGGACTCAGGGCATTCATCCGAGTAGCTGGGACTACAGGCACACACCACCATACCCAGCTAATTTTTTATTTTTATTTTTGTACAGACAGGATTTTGCTCTGTTGCCCAGGCTGGTCTCTGACTCCTGAGGTCAATCCATCCTCCTACCTCAGCCTCCCAAAATGCTAGGATTACAGGCATGAGCTACCACACTCTGCTAGGTCTTTCAGATAAGTGGAATCATTCAGTATTTGTCCTGCGTCTGGCTTGCTTAACTTGGCATAATGTTGGGGCAGTATTTTGACAGGCTGGATGTAAAGGGGTTAACATCAAATCTGGTCTATGAAGTGGACCAGGGTCTTGTTCATGAAATCTACAGTTGGCCCCCACCTCTCAGCAGCCTCTCTTCAGCCCTATTTTTTTTTTTTGAGTTGGAGTCTCACTCTGTCGCCCAGACTGGAGTGCAGTGGCCGCTCCCGGCCACCGCAGCCTCGACCTGCTGGGCTCCGGCGATCCTTCCGCCTCAGCCTTCCGAGTAGCCGGAATTATAGGCGCGTGCTACCACGCCCGGCTGATTTTTTGATTTATTGTAGACATGAGGTCTTGCTGCCCAGGCGGGTCTCGAACCTGCGGGCTCAGGCAGTCCACTCACCTCAGCCTCCCAAAGTCGCGGGATTACAGGCTGAGCCACCGAACCCGGCTCAGCCTTATATCTCGCCCCTTTTCCTCAGCAGTATGATCAAGATTAGCACTGATAAATGCCTTTCCTTCTCTGCACACGCATGTAAATATTTGCACATTCCGGTCTTTCTGCTGGAACGTTATGCCATCCTTCAGGTCTCAGCTTAGAACACACTTTCTCTGGGACATCTCCCTGACCCTCCTAAGACTGGGTGAGTTGCCATTCCTTTGGACTGCCATAGGATCTTATCTACAATTTCATGCTGGATTGTCACTATTTGTTGATGTGCTTATCTTCACCAAATTATAAAGGCAAGAGTCATTGACCCACCTGCATATAACTATTAAAAATGTATATTGAATTAATAATCACGATAATAACAATAACCATTTATTGAGTGCCTACAATTGCAAGACACAAATATCTGCTGATAATATTAGTATCCCTAGCCGGGTTTGGTGACTCAGCCTGTAATCCTGCGCCCTTGGGAGGCTGAGGTGAGTGGATTGCCTAAGCCCACGGGTTCGAGACCTGCCTGGGCAGTGAGACCTCATCTCTACAATAAATCAAAAAACCAGCCGGGCATGGTAGCACATGCCTGTAATTCCGGCTACTCGGAAGGCTGAGGCGGAAGGATCGCCCAGCGGGTCGAGGCCGCGGAGGCCGGGAGCGGCCGCTGCACTCCAGTCTGGGCGACGGAGTGAGACTCCAACTCAAAAAAAAAAAAAAAAAAAAATTAGTATCCCTGTTTTATAAATAAAGAAGCAGAAGACTAAGGAGGTAGAATGAGTGTCCAGGCATGTAGCTAGTGAGTTACAGAGGCTGGGTTCAAACCTGGAGCTCCTGTCTCTGAAGCCAGTGTGCTAAAACACCACACCCATCTCAGCTGAGTTCATACCTTGCATCTGAGACCCACTTTAGTTGCAAAAGAAGAAGAAACACACTGAGTCTTGAAGATGCATTTAGAGAAAGGGAGGGGCAGTTGGTATAGGCACAACCTGGAGAAAAGGATAGATGGAGAGACTGAATTGGAGAGCCTTAAACCATCTTTCTTTCCTTTCCTAGCAAACCACAGAGAATCCTGAAGATGTAACAAGCAGCCCACCCCGGCGAGAATAAGCATGATTAAGTCAGTAGTATGTGCTGGGACAGCTCCATTGGTGCTAAAAATGTCAACTTGGGTTCCCCAAACAAACATTTTTTTTTAACTTTTCTTGTTTATTTGTTCAATTGTAATTTTAGGCCAGGTATGGTGGCTCATACTTGTAATCCTAGTGCTTAGGGAGGCCGATATGGAACAATCATTTGAGGCCAGGAGTTCAAGACCAGCTTGGGCTTGGGCTAGACCCCACCTCTACAAAAGATTAAAAAATTAGCTGGATGTGGTGGCATGCACCTGCAGTTCTGGCTACTCAAGAGGCTGAGGGGGGAGGATTGCTTGAGCCCAGGAGTTCGAAGGTATGTGCACACCACTGCACTCCAGCCTGGGTGACAGAGTGAGACTGTTTCTTAAAAAAAAAATTAGGACAA